AAGTTAGTTTATTTTTGTTTCTTGTATTAATTGTGTGAACATCACTGTTTTTAAGAAACAAATTAATATTTTTTCTTACAAGTTTTTCTTTCAATGAACACAAACAGCATCGAAAACATGCTACTATTATTGTAAAAAAAATCCGTAAGTATATTAATATAATTGGTCTAGCTGATAGTTAAACAGCTAGATTAAACAAGTACCTATATAAGCACTTGATGTAACAGGGATATTGAATCTTCCTCGCGTTGCCTTCACCTAGTTATGTAATTGTTCGCGATGTCATCCTTTTAAAATAGAAAATCTAATTTTAGGTTTCTAATCCAGGGTTTGGCAGTTATCATGAAATTTTCTCTACATTTTGCTTTGTTATAATTATCGCGGGAGTGGTCTCGATTAGCTAATGAGCAAGGTTTACTGTCCACGGAGGCGCAGCCATAGACGCTTCAAAAAATCCAACCCTAAGGGTATCAAAACAGAGATGATTGATCGTTTACTCACTGATTGTATTGTATGACCACACAACTTTTTGACGTGTATTATGACAGTGTAGTCTGATATTGATAATAATAAATAAATAAATATTTTCATCCCACCACCTCGGAAAGTGTAATTTTGCGCTTCGAAATCTGGCTGGAAAATTCTATTTTATTCGCTTGAGCGGCAAAGTAGATTTGAATTTAGAACATCACATATAATGAGTACTCAATATAATTGTAAATTCAAAACGTCATTAAACCTATTTAATGTAACCTCTATGGTGCCAAATTTATGATTAGAACTTTTTAAATTGTGAAAAAATTTAAATTTGGAACCTTCTTGGTTTCTTTGTTTTATTTGCGTGCTTCGCGCCATTCTAGTTTTTCACGTTTTATTGCTTAATATAATTAACATAACCTAAAAACTGTACAAAAAAATCAACTAAAATGAGTGACATTAGCGACGATGAAGTTTATCTAACGCCAACTGAGTTAACTGAAACAGTTAATAATGCGCAAATGAGCCTTCTCCCTCAGCAATCACGAGAGAAGTATTTGAAACAGTACGATATATTTAACATGTGGCGACTAGCTAAAGGAGCAAAAACTTTCTCCGAAAACGTTTTGCTGGCATATTTTATAGAATTATCTGAGACCAAGAAAGCAAGCACGCTATGGAGTACGTATTCAATGCTAAAATTAACAATTAAGATGAAGAAAGACGTTCATATCGACACCTATCATAAATTAGTGGCATTTTTAAAAAGAGCCTCATCTGGTTATAAACCAAAAAAATCGAAGGTTTTCACAGCATCTGAAATTGCAAAGTTTATTAATGAAGCACCTGATTCCGTATATTTAGCGGCAAAAGTAAGTCAATACGTGTAATTTTTTGTTGTTGATAAAATTGTACATAGTACTTACAATATTTTTAATTTGATTAATTTATTTACGATTATAAATACTTCTTTTGTTACAGGTTGTTCTTATTATTGGTATAACCGGAGCATGTCGAACAAATGAACTTACACTACTTAATGTCAATAACGTATCAAAATATTCTCATAATTCTGATGAATTGCTATTAATTAATGTACTAAATACCAAGACAAAAAAAGACCGCAACTTCGTTATTCGCAAGGAATATGTAAACATTGTTCAGAAATATCAAGCTTTACGTCCTTCTAACACCCCAATTGAACGATTTTTTTCTACAATATCGCAACGGAAAGTGTATCCGACAACCTATGGGTCAGAATAAAATTGGCAGTATTCCACGAGAAATAGCAACTTTTCTCGGACTTTTAGAACCCCCGTTATACACCGGTCACTGTTTTAGAAGAACCTCAGCCACACTTTTGGCCGAATCAGGGGCTGATCTTCTATCGCTTAAGCGCCATGGAGGCTGGAAGTCTAATTCGGTTGTAGAGGGATACATAGAGGATTCAATCCAAAGTAAATCAAAAATTTGTAATAGTATCGTGGAGGCCATAACGCTGAAAGAACCTCTGTCAGATTCTTGGTCTCGCCCTTCTACATCTAAAATGAGCCCCCATAAGATTGGAAACAATAGCCCTCTCTCGCCAACATTTACGCCAATAGAATCCAATGAATCGGCACAACTATTTAAAATTACTGATACGAGTAGTTTACCACAAAACAGCGCACAATTCACAAACACCAACATAACATTACCTAACAAAAATATTAAACTTAACATAAGTAACTGTAGCAACGTTACATTTAATATTTCTTAATTATTTTCTACTTCTTATTATTTTCTTCAATTTATAGATTATCTTAATGTGTTTTAATTGAAATAAAAATATTTTGTCATTATAAATTGTTTTCTTTTTCATTTTGTCATTTCCTCGCTGAGGTGGGATGAAAAGTTACGTATTGCACTCGAGTGGAAAGATTTTTCACCTTGTGCTCGTTTGTTTCCCTCGCTGACGCTCAGGATTCTAATTTAGGATCACTCGCTGCGCTCGTGATTCAACTTTAGAATCCTTCGCTTGCTCGGTCATCCAAATCGAGCACGCGGTTAAAAAGGAACTTTCCACTCTTGTATAATAAATAACTATTATTTGGCACAAATTACAAAAATAACTTCTTGTGTTACATATAGGTAATTGTGTACCAAACAGGCCACTGCTCAGTATACGTCGAGGCATCATGTGCCACGACACTGATTTTCAGCAGCAGCCTACTTAAATTAAATTACATTTAAGGTCTTAAATATCATTTAAAAAAATATTAAGAATAAAAGATTTAAATACATATGTCAAATTACTAAAATCAATTGGATAAATATTGTGAAACAAAACGAAAGCCAATAAAACATATTAAATTAAATTAAAATTTACAGCGTATGAAATGGTGCTCAAAATCAACCATGGCATTCTAGCGACCCTCGTTACAACTTTTGCACATCCAATAAATATGTCCTGTATTTAACTTTAAAAGTGCAAACCGTTTGATATATTTTTTAAAGGAGATACATTAATGTTCAAAAAAGCGACCAAGTGCGAGACAGACTCGCCCATGAAGGGTTCCGTAGCAGCAAGTAACATAATACAAAACCTACCCTCCGCGCGCTCTGCACCCGCTACCGATCACGCCACGCCCCGCGCTAATTATAATTATTATTTACTTATGCACCTATTACAGATTTATTATTAGAAAATAATGGTTCACATAACGTTTATGTTTATGAAATTAAATGTTTTATTTTTATATCTGAGTTGATTGAATGAAAGGTAAATAGTGGTTAACGATTTATGACGTATTAAAAAAAAACTACTTACTAGATCTCGTTCAAACCAATTTTCGGTGGTAGTTTGCATGGTAATGTACAGCCTATTTTTTTTAGTTTTATCATTTCCTGATTTTAGAAGTTACAGGGGGGGGGGGGGGGGGGCATATTTTACCACTATTCAGTTTAGAAAAAAAATATGAAACCTTAATATCCTTTTTGAAGACCTATCCATAGATACCCCACCCCACACAGATGGGTTTAATGAAAAAAACATTTTTGAGTTTAATTTCTAAGTATGGGGAACCCCCAAAAATTTTTTTTTCTATTTTTATGTAATCAATAATCAAAATAACTTATTCAGTTTAGGCTGTTACAAGCACATATGAATGTCTAGAAGCTACGCCATCGGTTCGTAAATTTACGGCGGGAGACCTTTTATCATTTACAGAGCCGTCAAGTTGAAAAATGACTTCAGAGATAAATGTGAAAATCTTAATGCGGTTCACAGAATACATCTACTTACCAAGTTTCAACAGTATAGTTCTTATATTTTCGGAAAAAAGTGGCTGTGATAAGCGAACGGACAGATGGACGGACATGACGAATCTATAAGGGTTCCGTTTTTTAAAAAGGAAATACATAATAATAAACCTAATGCTAAGGCATTAGTCAAATTAATATTTGGAGTCGGTGCTATTGCCAGACCAACCCAAGTAGTAAATGGGAACTCGGATCTATCAGACCTGCATGGCATCGACTCCAAATATTAATTTGACTAATGCTAAAAAAGCTTTAATATTTTTTACATTTCGGCGGAAATTTTTAATTATTTTGTTAAAAAGTTTTTTGTCAAAAGTAAACACGTGCTTTCATTCAATGTACGCCCCGGGGCGTATGAGATGAGATTTAGCAGGCGTCAGGACCCCGGCATGCAGCGACGACGACGCGAGCGCGACGTTACAGCGTCGACAGAGTAACATATAGTTTTGTGTGTAACCTGCAAGCAGGCATTACGCCTGTTTGACGCAATGACGAATACGTGAAGCTACACCTCCGTGGACAGTGACACTAAGGCGCTTTGCAGACGAGGGGCGGGGCGGGCCGGTCAATTTCGCCGCGAATAATAGCACAAAGTGAATCCTATACTTCAAACGCACACAGAGGGCAAAAAGACCGCGCCTTGGGTGCCCGGCGAGTACTGGCGGCGCGGCATGTCCGCGGCTGCCCGCCGTGGATCATACAAACCAGTTTATATGCAGTAACGCAGGCGGCGGCGCGGGGCGGTCAGCTCACTCCGCGCCACGCGCTTATTAGTGATGGACTATTCACTAGAACTAGGGCTGCCATCTCTAAAATGTGGCAACCAGGATAAGACGCGTGATAACCCCGGATTTTGGAGCCCAGAATCCGGACAGACCAATAAAAATAGTTAAAAATATCACAAATCAACTTTTTTATGTTGATCTAGGCAAAAGAGCTAGCGGTCTACCTCATAACAAGTGGTTACTACTGCCCATGGACACTTTCAGCACCAAGGGCCTTTCATGCGTTGCCGTAAATTTTTAAACCCGGACTACAAATGAAACCCCGCCCGGACGCTCCCCGGACGCCCCGTAAACTAGGACAAATCCGGGGAAACCCGGACGGATGGCAGCCCTAACTAGAACGAACGTCCTGAACTGACCGCCTCTGCCCGTCGTGTGCTTTGTGTACGCGGCGCGGGCAGAACGCCTAAGTGGGTGTGGTGTGGTTATAATATAGGTACCCAGTGGTGCGTGAAGTCTGCCGCCCACAACGCGGGCCCGAAGCTGCGCGCCGGGTTGATGCTCGCGCCCGTTAGTCCGCCCTGTAACATCACAAAAAAATATTCACGTGGTAGTCTTACCAAGTAATTAGACCGAAACGTTAAAGTTTATAAGGTAAATTTACTTTTCGCTTCTTATTACCGTGCTTACAAAATAAGCACAAGAAGAAATTTAGACCTAATAAATTGTAAACTTAAAAATTGACTTGATTGCACGCACCAATACATACTTATGTGATTCGCGTATCGGTTAACCCTTGTCGGCCGGTTGAGCGGGTCCCGCGGCTGCCAGTGGGCTGCGCTAGATGTTAGACTGAGCGTGAGGCCGGCGACGATGGTCCCGATGCGCAGGGGCCAGGAGTCAGTTAGTAGCCAGTTGCGTGGGTCACGCGCCACGCAGTGACCGCTGCTAGACGTAAGACAGGAGAGGTACCGCGGAGAGCGTGAGGCCGGCGACGATGGTCCCGATGCGCAGGGGCCAGGAGCCGACGAGCAGCCGGTTGCGCGGGTCCCACGACGCGCAGTTAGCCAGCGCCAGACACCCGCCCAGCAATGCTTCCACGCCCACCGCCTGCGGCCGTACACATAACATAATTATACACAAAACTCAAAATCATTAGTAATACGACGACCTCCGTGGCTGAGTGGTTTGTACGCCGGGTTTCATGGCGTCGCCGACACGAGAGGTCCCGGGTTCGAATCCCGGTGGGGGCAGATGTTTGTGTGATGAACACAAGCATTTGTACTCCAGTCATGGATGTTTAATATGTATTTCTATATAAATATACTTATATATGTAAAGTATATGTATTCTATCCGTTACCCTAGTATCCCATAACACAAGCCTTATAATGCTTACTTTAGGGCTAGGCTAATTGGTGTGAGTGTTGGAAATATTTATTTATTTATTTAATATGATTGGTCAGTCTAGGCTTTTTTTGGCCCTTTCAAACAGCCACTGAGCCAGTTCTTGGGCTGGCAGACGGGTGGGTGGGAGAAAGGGAGAGGTGTCTGACATAACCCCGTTATTTCCTGACGTTAAAATATGCCGTGACAAGCCCTAATGAACGTCAAACGCTCTTCCATTAGTCAAATCTACGTCAGAAGACCTTGTACTGAAAAGAACCGTCAAGAATCAGAGAGTCAATTTCGTATGAGTGTCAGTCAGTTCGATGTCTGACACAGCATGATATGGTATTAGCAACGGTCACATTAATTCTGTAAGAAGTATACAACGTAATAAGCTATAACAGCCTAATCTGCACACCACATAGGTGTAGCTGACCTTTATGGGTCAGCTACACCTATGTGGTTATGCCCATAACTTATGAATGTCTGAACATATTTGAATGTGGATTAGAATCCTGAGTTACATCGGCAACATTTTTTGTTGAACCAGGGATTATGGTGTGGAAATTACTTTTTTCTTCTACATTAATTACTTTATGGGTATAACATTAAAAGTGTTGATCAGCACATCCCAGAACTGAATCTAAGTAGTTATAAAATGTATAGGACATATTGATAAAGATCGGTGGGCCAAAAGTGTAAGTATATTGCAATATAACTTTTATTATAAAAAAAAATAAAATAAAAATACCTCATTAAAACAATTAAGAAACACGATTTACTGAAAAATCTAAATAATGAGTAATGCTTGTCACGATAAAAGGCATAGAAATAAATCAAGATTTATTGGTGTGATCGCAGGCAGCAGGAGGTATCTAACTAAACCAAACCGAAGAATTATTTTTTTATGAACGAGGCTAAGACATGCAATAAAAAGATTCCAAATGCGTAGTATTTTTATCGTAGAGATATTAATGTAATAACAAACCTAAACTATGATGAAAGGAACAATAACGCAGCTTTAACTAAATTATTATTAAATGAATGGATATAAATATCACTATGTACTTATTAATTATTATCACAAAGTAGAAGTTATTTTAACAAGCCACGATAGCCTCTGACTGTCCATAGGTCGTGTCCTGTTGTATTATCAACAGCTATAAAATTTTGTATGTTTGCTTGGAGGAAAAAATAATAGGTAACGTTTTCTTTTAAAGAATTAGTTTAATTATGTTATTTAAAAAGCAACCGAGATAATTATCCAAAGCAAAATTAACACCCCATTTTTAACCACAGAAAAATAAAAAAGGTTATTTTCATATATATATAATGACGTAATTTCTTCCGTTGTCGAGAAAGAGGTTTAAGAAATAATAATTTATTTAATTCTTAGGTTTTCAGGTACACCACTAATTAAGTACCTATAACAAGATTCAATGGTATAAATGGACTGAATTATTAATTTATTTTAAAGTTTCGCAACCTTTACAGGATGCGAAATGCTAATTAAATTAAATTTGTGTATTCCAATGACATTATCTAAAGCCAAAGCTATTTTTTATCAATTTTAATATTGATAATTGTTATAGAAGTTGTTATACTTATGTTTTGGAATTTTTGTTGTAATTTCATGTCAGTTGGAACTGGAAAGTTGACTACGGCTGGGGAGATTACCTTTCAAAAATAGGTTGAAGAGAAGATAATTTTTTTGAAGTTTGTAAATAATTGCCTTTCTTTACAAATAATTGATAATAATGGATGAGAAAGAAAAAAATATTAATTTGTTTCTTAAAAACAGTGATGTTCACACATTTAATACAAGAAACAAAAATAAACTAATTTTACCTGCTACTAGGCTTCACAAAATCAATAATTTATTTAAAGGTCTTTGTGTTCGCTTATACAATAAAGTCCCAAAGCAATATCCAAGAGTAAACCATAAACAAAGATAGTATAAAAGAAACCCTTATTAAAAAAGCTTATTATGAAGTGTCTGATTATATTACACACAAAAATGCTTGGTTTTGAACTGTTCCAATGATTCCAACAGGTTTTCTATATTAAATAAGTAATGATTGTATTGAAGTTGTAACAACATGATGATTTGTAAATGTTGTTACATTATACTTTTAATGTTGTGGAGCTTTTTTCGAATGTTTTTCTTCGCAGCCATAAAATATGTCCAATAACGAGTGGTAGGGGAAAAAATTTTATGGACAATTCAAAAGAGTTATACTATATATACATCTAATTTGAATAAAGATATATAGATTTATGATTTATTTGTACACGTCCTGTCTTTATGTTTTTTAAAAATTGAGTAACACATGGCCGTTTCAAGTTTGCCATTGTTTCTATCCATTACAATTCTTATTAAAAAAAAATATGCCTGAGAAGGGGTGGCGACCACCCGCAGTATAAAAGTGATTCCTAGCATAATGACAACTTTGAAGTAACAACAAAACAACTTTGGGTAAGTAGAACACAATCATAATTTAATGGTAAAAATTGGTGTTATTTGGCATAATTGGTGTTATTTGGCATAATTGCCAGGTTTAGCTGTTTTTTTCCGTGTATGGATTGGATTATTTGCACATCCCTCGTCGAGGGCAACATGAGTCTTTTTTATCGATACTCTGACCGCATATAATTCTCCGCCTCAGGTCCGAGTGGTCCAGAGGCTCCAAACGGAGAGGAGCTTCCCCCCGACGAGAGATGCCATCCGCCTGGATTACCTTTACAAACACTCACCAATTCTCACCTTGAGGCCCATTTAAGATCTCGCCGTTCCCAAATCGGTGACGCTGGAAAGGCAATTTGCGACCAACAAAACTTGATTCTGACGCTGATTTACATAATAGACCCAAGGGAGGATCCAGGAGGGGAGTCATGGGGGTCATGACCCTCCCTGGGCTGGGTCCATCTGTACCCACTTCACAATCTGTACTTCACAATCCGCTTCTATCTATTGATTATATACTCGATATCTAATGCCGTTTCCTATATACTAAATATAAAATTATTGAAGTTATACTTCTTTAGGCGCGTTATGAAAAAATGATGAGAGTGAAATTTTAAGATGCACGCGCATCACTGTAACACAAAATATTAACTTTTGTGTGTACCGCACATTAAGAAAATCTACCAACAAAATAGAAATAGAATCTCTATTTAGTGGGTGCTAATGACTGCATTGTGAAGGCCTATCAAAAGTATTTATTAATCTGGAACAACGGAACCAAAGCGCGATTCAGGAGACTACAGCGCCATCTCTTGACCATTGGTGTAGTAGAACCAAAAACCACATCTTTATTTTTTGTAATAAAGTAACAGTTATAGGTATTCATATTTATAATATTTATCCACATGTTTCTAGTTTGTATATTCGGGATACGTGTTTGAGTTTCATACAAGTGCAAATCACATATGTTCTAATAAATTATATTCAGTAGCGATTATAATTGAATATTTTGATTATTTATTTATTTTTTCAAATTAAAACTGAACTTTATTGACTGTGTCCTTTTCCAGACTTTTTATTAATTTATTGTAATTAATTATTTGCATGCAATTAAAAACTAATTTTAAACGATACCAAAGAAGGATAACTTCTCACGCGCCTACATAAGTACACGCACCCATTTTTTTATTGTAACTGTATATATCTATATCCTAAATGATGTAATGGAAGGTGACTTTAGAAGTATCTCTTAAGTCATTTTTCAATGTGACAACTCTATATATATCAATAAAAGAAATTTTAGAGAGAAAAATGCAGCCCTTGCTGAGTTTCTTGCCGGTTCTTCTCAGTACAAGGTCTCCCGTAGTTTTGGGAACCGATGACGTAGTTTCTGACCTTCACAAGTGCTTGTAACAGCCTAGACTGAATAAATGACTTTTCATTTCATTTTATTTCATCTGTTTCCACTGTGACATGACCCACCCCGGCGCCAAAGCTGGATCCGCCCTTGAATAGACCTGGGTCCGCCCTTGAATAGACGTCGGGGGCGAAATCTACCTTGTATATAGGCAGGCCCCCGGCGGGACGCGTGATGCACAGATCGGCGGCGGCGGTGAGGTTGGGGCCGGCGGCGGGGTGCGCCAGCAGGGCGGTGAGTGCGGGCGCGGCGGCGGCGCCGGCCAGCTGCGCCACCGTGTATGTGACCTATGGGGACAACATGTACCTTGTATATAGGCAGGCCCCCGGCGGGACGCGTGATGCACAGATCGGCGGCGGCGGTGAGGTTGGGGCCGGCGGCGGGGTGCGCCAGCAGGGCGGTGAGTGCGGGCGCGGCGGCGGCGCCGGCCAGCTGCGCCACCGTGTATGTGACCTATGGGGACAACATGTACCTTGTATATAGGCAGGCCCCCGGCGGGACGCGTGATGCACAGATCGGCGGCGGCGGTGAGGTTGGGGCCGGCGGCGGGGTGCGCCAGCAGGGCGGTGAGTGCGGGCGCGGCGGCGGCGCCGGCCAGCTGCGCCACCGTGTATGTGACCTATGGGGACAACATGTACCTTGTATATAGGCAGGCCCCCGGCGGGACGCGTGATGCACAGATCGGCGGCGGCGGTGAGGTTGGGGCCGGCGGCGGGGTGCGCCAGCAGGGCGGTGAGTGCGGGCGCGGCGGCGGCGCCGGCCAGCTGCGCCACCGTGTATGTGACCTATGGGGACAACATGTACCTTGTATATAGGCAGGCCCCCGGCGGGACGCGTGATGCACAGATCGGCGGCGGCGGTGAGGTTGGGGCCGGCGGCGGGGTGCGCCAGCAGGGCGGTGAGTGCGGGCGCGGCGGCGGCGCCGGCCAGCTGCGCCACCGTGTATGTGACCTATGGGGACAACATGTACCTTGTATATAGGCAGGCCCCCGGCGGGACGCGTGATGCACAGATCGGCGGCGGCGGTGAGGTTGGGGCCGGCGGCGGGGTGCGCCAGCAGGGCGGTGAGTGCGGGCGCGGCGGCGGCGCCGGCCAGCTGCGCCACCGTGTATGTGACCTATGGGGACAACATGTACCTTGTATATAGGCAGGCCCCCGGCGGGACGCGTGATGCACAGATCGGCGGCGGCGGTGAGGTTGGGGCCGGCGGCGGGGTGCGCCAGCAGGGCGGTGAGTGCGGGCGCGGCGGCGGCGCCGGCCAGCTGCGCCACCGTGTATGTGACCTATGGGGACAACATGTACCTTGTATATAGGCAGGCCCCCGGCGGGACGCGTGATGCACAGATCGGCGGCGGCGGTGAGGTTGGGGCCGGCGGCGGGGTGCGCCAGCAGGGCGGTGAGTGCGGGCGCGGCGGCGGCGCCGGCCAGCTGCGCCACCGTGTATGTGACCTATGGGGACAACATGTACCTTGTATATAGGCAGGCCCCCGGCGGGACGCGTGATGCACAGATCGGCGGCGGCGGTGAGGTTGGGGCCGGCGGCGGGGTGCGCCAGCAGGGCGGTGAGTGCGGGCGCGGCGGCGGCGCCGGCCAGCTGCGCCACCGTGTATGTGACCTATGGGGACAACATGTACCTTGTATATAGGCAGGCCCCCGGCGGGACGCGTGATGCACAGATCGGCGGCGGCGGTGAGGTTGGGGCCGGCGGCGGGGTGCGCCAGCAGGGCGGTGAGTGCGGGCGCGGCGGCGGCGCCGGCCAGCTGCGCCACCGTGTATGTGACCTATGGGGACAACATGTACCTTGTATATAGGCAGGCCCCCGGCGGGACGCGTGATGCACAGATCGGCGGCGGCGGTGAGGTTGGGGCCGGCGGCGGGGTGCGCCAGCAGGGCGGTGAGTGCGGGCGCGGCGGCGGCGCCGGCCAGCTGCGCCACCGTGTATGTGACCTATGGGGACAACATGTACCTTGTATATAGGCAGGCCCCCGGCGGGACGCGTGATGCACAGATCGGCGGCGGCGGTGAGGTTGGGGCCGGCGGCGGGGTGCGCCAGCAGGGCGGTGAGTGCGGGCGCGGCGGCGGCGCCGGCCAGCTGCGCCACCGTGTATGTGACCTATGGGGACAACATGTACCTTGTATATAGGCAGGCCCCCGGCGGGACGCGTGATGCACAGATCGGCGGCGGCGGTGAGGTTGGGGCCGGCGGCGGGGTGCGCCAGCAGGGCGGTGAGTGCGGGCGCGGCGGCGGCGCCGGCCAGCTGCGCCACCGTGTATGTGACGCCCGCCACGCGCGTGATGCGCCCGCGCACCACCGCCGCCAGCGTCACCGTCGGGTTCATCATCGCGCCCGACAGGTGGTCGAAGCACTGGAAACACGATAACCGAGTATTTAGAGACTTCTACCAAAAACCAAACCGAACCAAAAAACTTCGCGGACTGTAACGTGTTAAAAACGTTACATGAATCTCCTTCGTTCGAAGAGCGAGATGGAAGACTTTTTAGGTTGTCTCTCTCTGCTCATTTTTATCTCACGACCATAGCATTAATCTATGCGCTTTTAATTAAGTATGACTCTGTCTTTATCAAGCAGTGAGCCGTATGGACGTTGTTTTCTTTGCCCGCCCGGAAAAAGAAAACGAAGTAAAAAAAAAGAATTGAATGTCACTTCACGACGATATTTTTCGAAGCACGAAGTCGACTTCGTCCGCGTTGTGTTTGGTTTTACGAGAATCCCACAGAAACCTAACATTTTTCCGGAATTAAAAGAATCTTATACCTTAATACAGGTCATAAAATTTATGCGCACCAAATTACATCCACATCAGTTCAGTAATTTTTGCGTGATCGAGTAACATACAAAAACACAAATATGTAAACTTTCACATATATAATATTAGTAGGAAGTAGATAAGCTATCATCCATGCATTAAATTGATTAATAATACAAGTTAAAATTAAAAAAAAAAACGTATTTGAAAATTCAGAAAAATATTCCTCTTTCTTGTTTGTATAATAATTAACGAAGAAAGGGAGGAAAAATCCAGTCGTCTAAAACCCTAGAAAATCTAGTGCCGAATGTGCTGTTCCGCCGGACTAAGGGTACGGCCACAGTGCACGCAGGTTCAGACTCAGAAAACAAGCGCGAGAAATAAACAGTGTAGTTTATGCAGGTTACCTGCTGCCACTACGGCCACCCTGGTTAAACTACACTGTTTATTTCTCGCGCTTGTTTTCTGAGTCTGAATCTGATTCTGAATCTGCGTGCACTGTGGCCGTACCCTAAACCTACATGCAGGCTAGAATAATGAGACAGCCGGCTTGCAGTAATTGCATCTTTTTATTGAATGCACCTGCACGAGCAGCGTGACGGTGAGGCCAGCGGCGAGAGCGGCGTGTACCGGCGAGGCGCCGCCGTCGGTGGCGGCGCACGGCAGCAGGCAGCTCAGAGCCACCAGCAGCATCGTGGCCACCAGCTCAGCGGCTGTGGCCGCCCACAACCCCACGTCTCCACTGCTGCCGCCACCGCCCTCGCTGGAGCCCCGCACGCACTGCCCGCAACGCATGAGGCCTGCGGAACAAACATAACAACCTTTTATTTATTTACTAGCGACCGCCAGCGACCTTGTCAACTTTCGTTTTATGAAAATCCCTCAGGAGCCTGACACTTTTCCGAGATAAAAAGTGGCCCATGTCTCAATCCAGCTCATAAACTATATGCGTACCAAATATCATCCAAACCCGTTCAGTAGTTTTTACGTGATTGAGTTACAAACATACAAATATTCAAATTTATAATATTAGTAGGATTTAGGCGGCCTATAAACGGTAAATTATATTGTGCAATATTGCGAATTGTTTAATGATTGACCGAAAGTTTGAGCGAGTCTAATTTTTATAGCACCATATTTTTCTATTGCATCGTGTAGGGTTATATTATATATTGCGCAATATTTTTCAATTTGTGGTTCATTGTCACGAGGAGTACACGCGCGCATGCAAAATGGCGGAACAAAAGAATCCAAAAGTTAAGGAAAGAGACTTTATCTGTGAATGTATCCAATTGTTCAGAGAATTGCTGTCTCTGTGGAATGTCAAGAGCAAAGAATATCATGACCGTGATAAAAAAAACATTGCTTACGAAACATTGTTGTCTAAATTATAACCAATTACTAGCACACTTTTCTATAAATAAGCTTCTTCATTTGAAACAGTTTGGTTTCACTAGAGGCAAAAGTACTACTGATGCTGGAACTGCATATCTCAGACACATTTTTGATATATGGGAGAGTAAGCACGATGCTATTGGCATTTTTTGTGATTTATCTAAGGCGTTTGACTGCGTTAGCCATGAAACATTGTTAAATAAAATGAAGCATTATGGTGTATCAAATATTTCACTAAGTCTGATACAGTCTTATCTTTCTGCTAGGATTCAGAAAGTAGTTATAAATGAAGCTGAGTCTACAGGAGCACCCATTTCTATGGGCGTTCAATATTGGGCCCATTGCTTTTCCTTATTTATATCAATGACCTTCCTCACTTTATAAGAGATTTGTGTGAGACAGTACTATTTGCTGATGACACCTCTTTAGTGTTTAAAGCTAGGAGAGGAAATGATTGTTATGACGAAGTAAATTGTGCTCTCTCTGAAGTCCTTCACTGGTTTACGGTAAATAATTTAAAACTAAACTCTAGTAAAACAAAATGTGTTAAGTTTACTTTACCTAATGTGAGGCAGGTTAATACAGGTTAGTTTAAAAATAAATGACCAGCCTGTAGAGTTACTGGATTTTACAAAGTTTCTGGGTATTACTTTAGACTCGCATCTGCAATGGGATCCTCATATTGATGCCTTATCAAGTAGACTGAGCACTGCGGCTTTCGCTGTTAAAAAAATAAGACTCCTAACTGATGTGGAAACGGCAAGATTGGTTTACTTTGGTTACTTTCATAGCGTTATGTCATATGGCCTTTTGTTGTGGGGCTCAGCTGCTAATATAGAAAGTATTTTCGTACTGCAAAAGAGAGCTGTTCGCGCCATATATAATTTAAAGGCAAGAGAATCTCTTAGAGAAAAATTTAAAGAAATTAATATTTTAACACTGGCTTCGCAATACATTTATGAAAATATAATATATGTAAGAAAACACTATGACGCATTTGCAAAAAAAGTCAAACCCATAACTTTAACACGAGATTTAAAAACAAGCTTGCCGTTCCATGTTTCAGACTCCAAAAATCAAGAGGTTCATTTCTGGGATGTAGTATTGCATTGTTTAACAAAGCTCCCCAAGATCTGATTGAGCTTCCACTAACCAAATTTAAATCTCGGATCAAAAATTCTCTTATGAATAAGGGCTATCATAAAGTTAATGATTATCTAAATGATCGTAATGCATAGACATAGTGTTTCTTGTAATTTGTTATTTGATGGGTATGAGTCAGTTTTTGTAACAGTAATATGGTACCTATCTGATGGCGCTTCTTAAATACTAAATATAAAATTATTATTGTAACTTTATACATCTATATCCTAAATAATGTAATGGAAGGTGACTTCAGAAGTATCTCTGAAGTCATTTTTCAACTTGACGACTCTGTATATATCAATACAGGGAGAAAAAAGCAGCCCTTGCTGAGTTTCTTGCCGGTTCTTCTCAGTACAAGGTCTCCCGCCGTAGTTTTGCGAACCGATGGCGTAGCTTCTTGACCTTCACAAGTGCTTGTAACAGTCTAGACTGAATAAATGACTTTTCATTTCATTTCATTTCATTTTAAATACAAAGTGATGTTTCCACAGGCAAGCAAAGTTAATGTGAAAAAAAAATTCAATTCTTTAAGAACTAACTACCGGAAGGAGCTCAAGAAACACCTCCATTCTCTGACTAAACACGAAACATTGAGCAGTTCGTATTATTGTGCAATATAATTGCTCGTTTGGATTCAGAGCACCTTTCAATCTTATTGTACAATAAAAGTATTGCACGACGGTATTGTAGGTCTAAAGGCCGCCTTAGATTAAAAAAAGGGAAGATACGGTACTCGAGGCTCAAAAGTGATCCGTTTAAATTGTGGTGTATGACCACAATTCGCTTTAGTCACAATTGGACATTGAAACACGCTGCATGTGCACCCAATATACCTAACAATATTGCGTATATTCTGTATTATAAAGATAAAACAATGCTTTCGATGCTTTTATAAAGAACGCCAATAGTTCAAAATCAAATACCTCGGCAACACTTTTCATTCGAAAAAGTGTAAAAATAAACGTTGACACAACAATCAAGTAGGTAATGACAAAGCGCTTGAGCTTTATATTATTATAATTGTAGGTGAAGACCACATGCGTTATTGAAAAGAAGCAACAAATGCTAGTAAACTGTCAGTGAAAGAAACCAACTAACTACGATAAAAAAATATATTCAATTAATGAAGTCTCAGTTTAAATTAATGCATCAAAAGAAAAATTGCAATCGAAAATAAATAGTCAAATTATGTATATAAGAAAAGATTGAAATTAAAGATTTATAATTATGATCTCATCTTTTTCTTAAATACTTTGATTTCTACAGAAGATAGATCTCTGTATTTGTTCTTGCTTAGTCATCCATATCAGAAGTCATCTTATCATCTACTCATATTTCATTTCTGTCATTCCTCAAATAATCCATTTTTGTTTTCTAAGAATAAAATGTATACTCATCCATTTCTTGATAACATGTGCTTTTATCCGATTGAGCTAGAAGGAGGGTTATGTTCATAGAGTGTATGTATATTTATTTAGTACGTTTTGTAACCTACTTGTAGGCTGTGTATCTCAGACACATCAAACTCGGTTTATATAAAAAAAATGCAGTTTTTTTGCACAATACAAAGAAATGGCAAAACACAACAAATAGTTCAACGTGGAAGAAAATGTACGTCCACGTAAAATAATTAATATTTATTTTTAGCTTATTGTTAAGCTGCCATACTTTAAATAAATGTCATTAGAAAGCAAAAAAAAAAACAAAAAAACATTCAAGCATACCTAGGGCAGGCCACAAAAAACAAAAACTAACAAATTGCAGGAGGAGCGTTCTTATTGTTTATCGACCTTGTAGTTCTTATGGCAGAGGAGTTGGGTGTTTTGATTTTTAACAGTTTCAGACCTATTTCAAATATTTTTTTCCCTGATAATGAAGGCACTGGAAAACTGTCTCTCACTTTGCGTGGTAGGAAAATAACAGTTGCACATAGAGCTTTCTATTAAGCCTATTTAAATTAAATATTAGTTGGAATTTCATTTCACATTTTCATGTTCAGTTAACCACATGAGTGTTGAGATTTCAAAACAAAAATACCATCGCGATTACCTCTCGTGGTGTCTGGTGCATTTTCCCAAACTTGTCTACTTATTCCCATAAAAGCAAATATACTCAAAAACAAGCAATCATATGGATCAGTTTTCAAATCACATAAATTTAACCACAAATCTATGTGCATTACTTATAGTCACAGATAACTTGTATTATTTCAATTTGTGGGGCACAAAAGTATTTCCTGACACAGTGACAACTTTTATCTTTGTCGCGAATAAATTACAGGTTTAAACATGCCATTTTAAAATTCTTAAAGTGATTCTATCTACGCTTGTGATAGCAAATTTTTAATTTATACCGCTCACTGTAATGATAGCGAGCGGTATAAATTAAAACTTCTAATCAGTATTTAGAAACAATTAATTGACATTTAGTGTTTATCTTTCATTTGTATTATTGTGTAAAGTTGATTATGTATATTATCTATAAGAATTCCTTTCTATGTAGCTGTATAAATGTTTGTGATGATTTTAAATTTTGGCACGGAACTAGGCATGTTGAAAATATATCGATGTATCGATATATCGATATTTTTTGTTCGATATATCAATATTTTTTGCCGATATATTTTGATTCGATATATCGATACATCGATACAAAATAACCAATATCGAAATTCGTATCAAAAACGATATTTTTTTAAATATTAGCGGCATATCACGATCTAACGTAAAAAAAAATCGTAACTGGATCTCACATTAATGATATTCAACATATCTATGATCTGTGCTGTATTTAGTACTGTCTATGTCATCGTTCGAAAATAAGGTCTATTTTTAGGGAGATAATTTTCGTTCCATTATTATTCCGCGTGTCATATTTCGTGAGCTACTGTACGATATTTTTGGGAAAATTGGTTCGATATATCGATATACCGATGTTTTTTTCGCGATATATAGAAGCCAATATTGATATTTTTTAAAATATCGATGTATCGATATATCGATATTTTTTCCAATTTTCGACATCCCTAATTATACGTAAACGGTATAGTCAATAGGTGAGCATTGTTTGCGTAAGAAATTAGCGATCGCATTCCGCTAACAACTAACATTGGTTAATGGCTTGGTTCCTGCGACAGTCTTATGAACTGTTTGTTGTATCTATATTACCTAGATATGTACTACTATCACAATTCCTTGTTTGATCTTTTAGTTTAG